CTGTTAATAAGGGTCCCAAACACAAGTCTGATGGTCTTCTGAATGTTTTCCATGCACAGCCAGCTCCACTGCTGCTTCATCAGTAAACACAGGATGTTCAGAGCCACCTCAGCCAGCGCCATCTCAGATCCAAAGCCGAGACCTTTGAAAAAGGAACAAACAAAGACATAAATGCAGAAACACATCCAACCACATTCTTACTGTGGTACAGCTGAAGATCACGTCTACTATATAGTGTTAACTGAGCACGGCATGGAAAGACATACGTGTAGAAACATAATACAACCTGTTTCAGTGACACATTCGACATACAGACCTGTGCAAAAGTTTTGAGCCAGATTCTCATTTAAAGCAATAAAAGTACTGTGAGACTGATGCAGAGTCTCTTTGTTCTCTGATCATATTCACAGAACAGGACAAAAGGTGGCCACCATCCAAAGAGCTTTGAGTGTCCTTCAAGAAGCCTGGAGAGCTGGTCCTACTTGTGACTAAGGAGTCACAGGACAGCTTGTAAGAACGCCGGCAGCGCTGAAGAATAAATGTGGGCACACCAATATTGACTTTCAAGCTCATTAGAATTATACAGAGTCTATTTTTCCTTATCTACTGTATTTCCTTTAATGTTTGCTCGTGCTTCACTACATCGCTGCACCCATTTCACATTTTCCCAGCTAAATACAAAGAAACGAGGGCTGGTGTGTAACTGATGCAGTGTAGATGTGAAGAGCATACCAATGCTCCTTTTCATACGTTTATCAATGGTGCCCTCATGTGGCTGGACTCAAGCGCTGCCATGCCTCAGAAACAGGTTTGTCACTCAGCTTTGCCTCTAAATAATTTGTGAATCAACTTTTAAGTATCAGAAGCAACAGAAGCTGACCTAAAGGTCAAACACATGCCTCAGTACTATGTACTGGTAATGAAAACTACTGGACTCCATACCAGCTGCTGTAACTAACAAAATGTTTGTAATACTGTCACGTCAACTACAACAATGACACACATTTACTGACGGTCACATCTATGACTCAGGAAGACAGAGTGAAGAATGCCATCTGCAGTAATGGAGCCGTTTTTTCTTAAGGGTCACCTTGACCTTCCATCTGCAATACATGGCAAGCCAGCACATGACAGCCTCCATCACTGGCAGCAGACGACATGAGGTGGAGTGACAACAGGTGGGTTGCAAGGGAGAGGATGAAGCATGCACATAGGGCTGCTCAACTAATCGAATTTTAATCACGATTACGATCTGGGCTTTCAACGATCATTAAAAATGACTGAGCCGATTATTAGCCCCTCCCTCCTGCTTTACTCTCGCGCTGCTCCGTGTGGCAAATCGAGCGCATCTCTCTGCGTTTCGAACACGTGTCACAACAATTAGGAGCAGTGGACGCCAACCTGCCACGGACCGGTTTATGCTCAACAATATTTTCACGGACCGGCCTTTAAGGTGTCGCGGATAAATACAACAAAATGAAACTAGTACCGAAAAAAAGAAAATTTATTCATAACACACTGAAAAGACCCAGGAAAACCGAGTTAACGATAAAAACGATAACAAAATAACGCTGAAAACCAATAAAAACCCTGAAAACCAGACATTTCACACCTGAGCTTCAACTCTCGCGGCCCGGTACCAAACGACTCACGGACCGGTACCGGTCCGAGGCCCGGGGGTTGGGGACTGCTGATTAAGAGGACCCGAGGGAAGCTCGGAAAGCTGAGCAGAAGTTATTTGGAGAGGAGAGTGACTGCTGTTGGTTGAAAAGAGGTAAAAAACCTTCAGTGGTGTGGAAACATTATGGGTTCAGTCAGACGTGGATCAAGTAGACACAGTGTGTAAACTTTGCTACAGTGTAGCTGCACCACAGAGCAACACTGCAAAGTTCACTAAACACAGATGTTTACATTTTTCATTGATTTCTTATATTGCAAACATTTGCACTGTTATCAGTATTTGCACTATTTTATATTATTTTTTAAAGTCATTATTCAACACATTGTTATTGTTAAATAAATATCGTCAAATAATCGAGATCTCAATGTCAGTGAAAATAATCGTGATCATCATTTTTGCCATAATCGAGCCGCCCTACATGCACAAATAAGATTTGTCACGTGTTTGTGTAGAACAGTATAAACTGAGCCATGAGCTGATGCAGGCTTTCAGTGTCCAACGTTTGGTGCTCCGCAGCAAAGTCCAAACGGTCAGGCCTTTTAAAGGCACGTGGTCGTAAACTTTGTAAAACAGCCTGTTTCAGTGTAAGTGCTGTTTTCAGTAAACTCCATGCTCAGAATAATGTTCGGCTCACTCCCATAATCCTTTGCTCAGGACTGTACATACTATAGTGTGTATTCACCTGTTCTCTTTCACATCAAGTGGATGTTCAAATAAGCGTCTCTATACTTCATACTATGTATTTACCTGACACTTCTGCACAAGTGGAAAGCAGGTCTCATAATAACGTCCATGATATGGATTCATGTGAAAGTGTAATACTGACATTTTTACATTAAAAACAGCCCCTGTTCACCACGCATGGACAAATGCAGGCGAACGCTCCAGCTGTGTGAAGAAGCAGCTGTATGTGAACGAGCCCAGACGCTCATTTAAAATTACTGAAGCAACCTGAGAGAAAAGGTTTCGTGAATTTGAAATTCTGCTTGGAAAAAACAGACAACCACTACAGAGGCGAGCGGCCGTCCGTCCGCCATCGGCCCTTCATTTAAAAGCCTGCATCTCTGCCTGCCTGCAGCCCAGACCTTTGAGCAACTGAGAACATTTGGCATGAAAAATACCAAAAAAGACGACCCAGGGCTGGTGAGCTGCTAGAATTCTGCATCAGACAAGATGTGAACAATATTCCCGAAACACAGCAACAACATGTTGCTGCGATCAAAGTCAAACTGACCTGGGGGGGGGGGCTCATTTTCTCAGTTTAAACATGTTTTCTATGTTCTGTGGTGATTAAAATATGGGTTTGATAATCACTGCATTCTCTTTGTTTACATTTTCACAGTCTCCCAATTTTGGGGACTGAAGCTGTAACTAAAATTGAAACAAACCAGCAAAATAGAAGCAAAACATGTATGTTAACGTTAAAGTAGGAGCGTGGCAGCTCTTACTGACAGCTGTAGTTGATGGCTGTCTGTTAGGCCTAGCCTTGGCTAGCTGCCTAGCTGGTCTGCTATCCTGTTTGATTCTTGTTGGAACAATTGTTCATGAAATTTGTGCTTCAGTTTGGATGAAATTCTGTTACTTAGCACTTGTTAGCAGACGTGTGCCTGTCCATCATACCAAGACAACATTTAAAGCAGTTTATGACGTACTTCATCCTCTCTTACAGAAACAAGAAGAAACTAGAGTCTGATAGTTTCACACGTCGCTGGCTGACTGTGAAAAAATGGTTTATTAAACAGTGAATGTCTCATTACAGCATCGAGCATAAGAAGGAAGGGCCTCGGTTTTTTCTGTGGTAGTTCTTTATAATGAGCAATGATGGAGCGCTGCATGATGCAACAAGTCCTTTGTGATAAGTCTTAAAGGTAGATAAGAGTTAATGTTTTGGGTTTGGACTGAATGTCCTAACATTTCTGACACACTTCAGGGAGAAACTTTTTATACAATCTCTGCTATGAACAGATCATATTCGAGGACTCAACGAGCCTGAGAACTCAGAGCAAACTGATGGAACGAGGACATGTCCCTCACAGCTGTGTATATCAAGACATCCAAACATACCTGTTTGTCCCAATAAATTATCTTTTATCATTTCTTAGCAGCACAACAACCGCTGATTAAAGATTAACTAGTAGTGATGGGATTCCAGCTGTTTTTAGAGAACCGGCTCTTCAGGTTGTTTTGTTGCTTTAATTAATTTATTATTAACAAGAATATAAAATTGCGCACAAAAGGAATTACTAACGTAAAAAATAAATAAATTTTAAAAAAAAAGTGGTTTTATTTATATATGTTTATATATAAATATATGAGGTGGCCCCTAGAGACAAAACACGTACAAACTCCAAAACACATTTCTAGCATGAACTGAACTTCCATAACAGAGCTACTAGATCACTTAAATTACACAATTGAAAGCATGAAAGCATGTGTGTGTTGTTTGTGTATTTATACACAGGCACTCGTATATATTCAAATAATTTAAAAATATGTTCATTTACCTGTTACTACCACACACCAAATCCGGTTGTTGGTACTTGCTGGATTGTGTAGCCTCTAGGTAACAAAAGCTCAACACTGCCCCCTAGCATCCTGGAGCACTTCTGTTGTGTTTTGTACGTGTTTTGTCTGTAGGGGCCACCGTATGGGCTCAAAATGTGGTCATAAATATTTTGTACTTGTAAAAAAGATTTGTGTGTGGACGTAGCCCAAAAAAACCCTGCAAGTTACAAGTAAGAATTCTGACCCTATTTTTCTTCCTTTCATCTGATTGGTCAATGTCATGTCAATCACAAATGTAACAATCCAATCAGAGAACAGATGGGTTTGGCTGTCGAGGGGCGCTTTTTTTGAACTGCAGGTCTTTGAAGGGAATAAATGCCCTTTTACATGCCAACCCAGCGTTTTCCTTCATCACCACGAAGGAAAACAGTCTGTGGTCGTCCGAGTTTGGTGATTTTTGTGTCACAGGTCTACGTGTTTAATACAGGGACTTCCACAGCCTTTTCAACAGCGCTGCGGACCGCGGGGTGGGGGCGGGCAGTGTTTTGGAAATGACAGTCTTCATTACAAAGCTTTCTTCGTTATGAATTAGCATACATGTTTTTATTGAACATTTGAAGAACTAGCAAAAAAACCCCAGAAACTCTTGTAGAGGACATGAAGTCAGAGATAGAAAAGACAAGGAGCAGGTGCATCTAGTGCAGGTAGAGCTGCTGCAAAAACCCACAGAGCCCAGCAGCCAGCAACAAATTCTGGATCCTTTGCTTTTAGTTAGCAGGTAGCATTAGCAGCACATCCTGCGTCCGATGTGAAAGGACCTTTATGCTGCGCACTGTGACTCACAGCAATGGTCCTGGGTCAGCCCTGACTTTGTGTTAAACTAATCCTAAAGTAATGATGTTATTTCTAACCACTGATATAGCACAACTTTATCCTTTCAACAGCTGCTGAAAGTTAGGGGACCTAGCTGCTATCGGATATTTATATAGAGATTACCCTTCAAGGACCTGCAGTTCAAAAAAAGCGCCCCTCCGACAGCCAAACCCATCTGTTCTCTGATTGGATTGTTACATTTGTGATTGACATGACATTGACCAATCAGCTTAAAGGAAGAAAAATAGGGTCAAAATTCGTACTTGTAACTTGCAGGGTTTTTTTGGGCTAAGTCCACACACAAATCTTTTTTACAAGTACAAAATATTTATGACCACATTTTGAGCCCATACCACCGTAAATATACTTTTATTTATTCACTCCACATAAAATGTAATAAATAAATCATATAATACAAAAACCAACTATTCACATTTCAACTTTTAACTATTTAAATTTGCAGCTTTTTCCTTTTAAACAAATTTAAAGTGAAACAACACAAAACACTGCAAACCACAACACAATTAAATATAAAATATGAAAACAAAAAGAAGATGCACATTCTCTGTCATATGGACCTGCATGAATAAACTTTCTGAATCCTTTATCATCTGCAACTGAAAATAGTTGTGGATGATTACTATACCTTTCTTATGTTGTTGTCCCTGCTCTCTCTCTCTCCCCCTCCCGCTCTGTTCCTGTGCTACTGAGTGTAACTACCGCCCCTCCCCCCTCTGCTCAGCGTAAAGCACAAGGCTCGCTGTGGACTGAAGCAGGAAAAGAGAGAGAGAGAAAGAAAACAACCCACAGCTCGCGATACGGAGCGGCTCGCGTCGTTCACGTCAAAGAGCCGGCTCTAAGAGCCGTTTCGTTCGCAAACAACCCATCACTATTAACTAGCGACTGACCAACCATCAATGATGGTTATTACAGAGTGTTGCCAGATTAGGAACGCCCAGCCTGGGCAGCAGCCGTGAGCTCTGTCACAGATGCCTGTTTTAGAACTAATGTAGTAATAGACTAGTTTCCTTTGCTGCCTCGCTCTTTGTATCCACAGCAGCATGTCAGTTTGCCAAAATATGAACATGTGGTCTGATGCATTTGATCAGTGACTGGAACAGAACTCCCAGCTGTAACCACAGAGAGACACTGAATGGGAAGTGGTAGTGACTTAATGAGTCAGTGAGCTGCTCAGACACAAAGGCAAACGAAAGCAGACAAGCCAGCGTGAGTCACACACACACACACAGAGACACACACAGACACACACACACAGACACACACACCCACACACACACACACACACACACACACACCACACACACACAGACACAAACACACACACACACACACACACACACAGACACACACACACACACACACACACACCCACACACACACACACAGACACACACAGACACAAACACACAGACACACACAGACACAAACACACACACACACACACAGACACACAAACAGACACACACACACACAGACGTGATGATAGTGTGATAATGGTGATTCGAGATCCAACGCTGGCTTTTAACTTTGCCATTTAAGTTGATCCATCTTCCTGCAGTGACATCAGCCAAAGGCAACATGATGACTTCTCCAGTAATTTAGACAAAAACCATCAGAGACATACAGATTTCAGGACTGCTGGAACGGTGCTGCTGTGTCAGCTGTTGGGTGTGACTGAGGCTGATCATGGCCAGTTTTATTTTATTCAATAGTCTTACTGAGTATTTACTTTACTGGTTTAAAATTCACACGCAGCACTGAAACATTCATAAACCAATGTGAATATTAGCCCGTGTCCTTACCGCGTTCCCGACTCTTCCTGTGATCCAGATGGCCTCCAAATTCTCTTAATCCTGCACAGGTCCCTCTCTCTGTCTCATCCTTCATGGTCTGTTTCTCCTGTTCATTGATAAAGTCTTGCAAATATCCCAGAGACATCCCATTAAACATCTGGAATCACAGAACAGAGTTTTTTTAATAGTTACTTAAACTTTAATCAGCTTGGTACGGTCCTCTATAATACAGTTAAAAGGAAAGGTTTGCACTTAATAACATTCAGTGAAAGTAAAGCAGCTGGATCCCATTTTCCCTCAGAACCGTCTCAGTTCTTCAGCAGTTTGACAGAAACATTGCTCAGAGATTGGTCCATGCTGACATGATGGTGTCACATAGTGGTTGCAGCTATTCAATTCAATGTTATTTACACAGCGCCAAATCACAACAACAGTCACCTCAAGGCGCTTTATATTGTGAGGTCGACCCTACAATAATTCATACAGAGAAAACCCAACAATCATATGACCCCCTATGAGCAGCACTTTGGCGACAGTGGGAAGGAAAAACTCCCTTTTAACAGGAAGAAACCTCCGGCAGATGCAGGCTGAGGGAGGGCTACAGGTGTAAATCTCCTGTTCCTCCACATCCCAAAGGTGCCTTACTGAATGTAAATCTGGAGACTGTGGAGGCCACAGTGACCTCACTGTGGTGTTAAGGAAATGACTGAGATGATTTGAGCTTTGCAACACATCTTGTATTAGCCTGCTGGGGCCAGCCATAGACCCGCTATCATCATAAAGGCACAGACAGGGTCAGCTCAGTTGGCAGTAAGAGGCCCAACGTATGCCTCTACAAAAGAAAAGCCCACACCATTAAACCACCAAATAATTATGCTTCCTTAGCTGACAGGAGTGGCACCCCTTTGGTCTACTGCGGCCATAGGCCATGTGCCTCGAGGCAGAAAGCTGCAAAAAGTTGTCCTTTGGAAAGAGAAGCGACCAGACTTGATTGAGGTTCTTGGTCTGCTGCACAATATTCTGCACATCAGCAAACAGAAGGTCTGCATTTACAAAACATTTACATTCATATTTTAATTCATTGTTAACTCAGTCTGGTTGATTCACTCGTAAAGGCACAAAAGAAGCTCCACAGTGTGAACTTTTGCATCATTTAAAAAGCGTGCACCCGAGCTGTGATGGAAGTCGCTTACTGTGCTGGCCTCCTCCATACTGAACAGAACTGGAGGTCTCACGTCTGAGCCATTCATACAGGGAACGTTTTTACTGGAGAACTTCAGACGAGATCTGGAACAAACAGAACACACATGACTGAAAACAACTCAAGCAGTTATTGAGCCTGACTTAAAACAAGCCTGGTTTTTATTACGCAGTAATAACTGTACCGCAATCATCCCCACTACAAAGACAAGTGACGTGTTAAACCAGTAAAGATCCATGCTACTGCACGGGCGTCTCACTCTGCTTTGAAACCGTGGAGGGCCTCTTCAGTGTTCCCAGTCTGGGTTGACTTCATCGTGGGGAACAACAGCTCTGCATCAGTAAATGTTCAGTAAGAACTGCAGTCAGATTTATGATGTGAATGCACCGGTGACGCACACACAGTGCACTCAGATCATAACTGTGGCGCCAAACACATTTTGCTTTTCCAAGATCTCCAAGACTCCTCTTGTTCAGGGTTGATCTGTTTGTTTCTCCATTTCTATTGCTGCCATTTCAGTTTTTACATTATACAGGTGGTATACAGTATGACAATGTCTCAGGCAGGACAGGCTGGGAAAGACGTAACAAAAGTACAAATAGAAATGCACAGTGTATCGCTAAATGTTGCATCTGTAAGAAAAACAAACATTCAGCACCTGGAGCACAAAAATTTAAAAATAGGTTTAACTTGTGTGATCTAACCCGACTCAAACCGCTGACCTTCTGACTCGTGGACGACCTGCTCAAACTCTTGTGCAGCAGCTACTCCAAAAAACACAAAAGTGAGTCCTCACAGCATTGCTCTTAGCTAGCTCTGATGGTGAGAGGATCACAGGATAGACGCAGGAGGCGCAGGAAGCAGCGTGCTCCACTGAGCCTGCACGTGTTTCTTACCTGGTCTTCTTATCGGCACCTATTTTGCCTCCATCCACCTCAGTCTCATTATCCTCTGTGGGGCTCTGAGGCTCTGAGCGAGGAAACGCCGTCTTCAGGGTGTCGACGATGGCGTTCACCACAATCTGCACGAGTAAACACATATGAGCTGTATCAATTCCATTTATTCAGGTTTATTTATCGAGCGCCAAATCCCAACAGCAGCTGCCACGAGGCATCACAAGCTGAAACCAGAGCAGGTCATTTCTTCATATCAGCAAACTAAGCACAAACACTCATGTGTCACTCACTCGTGTTAGAATGAAATAGTCACCTTGTCTATGCGTGACACAATGAAAGGTTTCTTGACAAAGGCGATCCTGGCATCTGTATTGAGAGCGAGAAATTCCTGCATCTCCTCACTGTTGGCTATTTCAGGGATGCCGCACAGTTGCTGAAAAGGTTGAAACAGAAAGAAGCCACCAGAAATGTAGCAGCAGGCCAACAAACAACACGAGTGCACTACAGAAAGGTTTTCCACCAACTTTTAGAAAGGTCTCCAGGAGGCCCTTCCTGGCTTCTATCTTATCACTGTCCATGTTTCCAAACGGCATGTCTGGAAATATTTTCTTTGGACCTTTCACGCCTGGAAAAAGATCAGATGAGTCAGACTGGAACAAACAAACTCTCTAAGGTTCTCAAAGGTCTACTGCAACACTCCTTTCAAATGTCGAGCAAAATATAAAGCTTCTGTACCTTTGATGAGTTTCCTCAGTTCTGTTTTTTCTTCCAGTCGTGTCTGCAGATTGAGGAACTCGCTGTAGCGTCTGTTGACCGTGTGATAGGCTACAGACTGAGCAGAAGATGGATTCTCACAGCCCGTCTGTACAGTTTCTGCATCCTCAAAGCCGGCCTGGATGCTTGCCGGGTTCTCACAAGCCATTGCTGTCTCATACTGTAAAGATAAAAAACAAACTGTGAGGCTTCACTGATATCCCAGTGAACGTAAGAATGCACCAGTACAGGCCAAACGTTTGTGACTGTATTCGCATTCCCATCAGTCAGTGCAGGAAAACATGAAGTTTTTTTTATTTTTTTATTTATTTTATTTTATCTTCAGTTGTTACAGATGGGACAGACATGGCTGGGGGATAAGAAAGGAAAGGAAAAGAAAAACAGAGGGGAAGAGGGACAGTGAGAAACCCTAACCCCAAGCAAAAAAAAGAGCAACATAAACACAGCACCACCACATTAATAGCTAACAGTAAATAACAGTAAACATTAAATATTGAATGCTGTTGTGTGGCACGCAGGACCTACAGCGCACAATGTGCTGTGAGGTAGCAGCCACGAAAGGTAGTTTGTGTCTGTGAACACCCGTGTGGATCAGCACGCTTGTATTCAAAAGGTTTCTCCATGTAACGATCTGCTAGGGAGTGTGGGGAGACATAGCCCCACCCCAGGGCATGAAGCAGGCATGGAGGAGATCCAGAGGCCCCAGAGTACGAGGACCCAAGGAGGACCATCAGAGGGGCATCTGTGCCACCCTCCTGGGAAGAGCTGAGGAGAGCCCCAAATGAGGGGTCACCCAGCAGCCACGGAGCAGAGGTCAGAGGGGGCTGCAGTGACGTGCCGTGGGCTCTGCGGGCAGCCAGCCGTGCCAGAGTGAACCGAGCCCCAGGCCCAGAGGCCTGAGGGCCCCCCACACCCCAGAAAAGGCCTGACCGAGCCACGGGCGCCCGACCGTGCCAAGCAGCCACTGTGAGTGAGCCGGTACATACCTGAGCGCCCAGCGCCGCGCACCAAGAACCACCAACGCACTGACACCCGAGGGCATCAGCCACCGGCAGGGAGTGTGGTGGGGGGAGAAAGGCCTCCATACTTTGGATGTTCCCAGAGGGGCGGAGTCTAAGACCCAACCTGACATATAGACACAGACACAGCACACAGACACAAACCTGCATTCCCACCCCCATATACACATATACAAATACTCAGCACTCACCCAACGTAAAGACAGACAAATAGACACTGTACACACAATCACACTCCCCAAACATACTTTACACCCCAGGTCCAGGTACCCTCACCCCCAGAGGGGGAAACTGCACCTAGATGTTACCCTTTGTGTTAAGTGTTACTGTGTTAAGGTCTAAAACTGATATTAATTATGTGAAATTAATTTTGCTGTTTTATTTCATGTCCACCTGAGAGAACAAAGTGTCCAAATAGACCCTCACTCAGTCACCGCTGAAGCTCGGCCCCAGCCCTCCTTCGGGTCGCTCATCAGCGCGGGGATGACAAACTGCATTACTTTGAATACTGTGTAACTGACTTTTTTCCTCTTAATAAAGAACCTCCTGTGTTTTGTGTTTAGTGGTTTTATCTTTGTCTAATATTTACCTTGCTATCCAAACGTCCTAGCACTGATTTATTTAACGTTTTACTAAAGCTCTAAAAACTTTCTCCCAGTGCAGAACGAGTCCTGTTTCTGTGTATTTCAGGGTTTTAAACTCTTAGTTATTAAACAAAACTGAAAGTTAAATATGTTGAAACATTAAAATTACTGCCTTTTATCATCATTATATTTGTCAGTGCTAAAAACTGCACAAATGCAGAAAAGCTCATCATCATGGCCAAATGCCTGATAGAGAGGACACTCCTGAAAGCAGTGCTGCAGCACTCTCTGGGTGTTTTTCTGTGGGTCATCGATCAGCCCAGTAAACACCAACCAACAACTGCATCGTAGCAAAGTCACATTGTCCTTACTTTGATGGTGTAAAGTGTGTAGGGGTGCGAGCCGGTGCCTCGGTGCTCCTTAGCCGTGATGGTTCCAGTGATGCGGAGGTTTTGGATGATGACGGGTCCCTCGGGGCTGCTGAGGGGCTCAAAACTGAACGTGGGGACAGAGGAACAGCACTGCAATGTACTGACAACACTCAGCTCATTAGGATTCATTACCCCAGTCTGCTCTGCGCCTATAAGAAGGCCTCTGGTGGCGATTATAGACGGGGAACTGCCTTCTCTGTCCAAGGAACGAATCCTGCTGATACTGGAGTCCCTCTCTGCTGTGCTGAGCGATGGCAGGACGCAGCCATTAGTCTGCTCCTCCGATTCTGAGCTCAGCAGGAATTTGGTTTGGCCGTCCACTGGACTGTGGCAAACATCCTCCAAATCCAACCCGTAGTTGGTCTCGACAGATGTGGCGCAATCCTTCCTACTGTCATCCAGACCATCATCTTGTCCGATCATGACCAAAGAATCGCTGGAACTGCGTTTAAAATCAGCCAAAGGAGAATCCGGGTCAGAGTCGTTTTCCTGGTAAAATGGGTTTGACTTGCTTCCTCTTGTGTAGCGCCTTAAAAAGGGTCGAACAGTTTCATCTTCTTCGGCGTTGTGTTGTGGAAAGTCCGCCTCCGCGGAGTCGGGCACATCATCGGCAGCGGGCGTGGCGGTCTCTGTGTGATTGATCTTTTCAGCCTCCGCTCTCTGCGCAGGAACGTCGCTGTTCTCTTGAGGAACATGTGCTGCCTGCCATGCTGGAGCGACCTCTGGGTCATCAGGTGGAGAGGGTAGGAGCGGGGATGAATTTGGTGATTCTGTTGTTTCTGGCGGTTGGCTGACAAATATTTTAAGTATGAGGAGGTTTAACCAGTCAGGGTCCGACAGTTTGGCAACGAGAGGCAGCAGGACATTACAGGTTATCAGCTCTCCAACCACAAACCGTCCAGTGCGCGTTTCCAAGTGCGGTGAAGGCACTAAAACGTGCAGCAGCAAGTCTGCGACTGCCCTCACATAGTTGACTTCCACTGTTTCGCTGGTCACGGCGAGGTGAGGGCTGCTGATGCTGGAATAAGCCTTCCACAGCTGCTCGTTCTCGCTGCTCTCATTTGCTCTCAGAGACACCTGCTGCTCGGTCACCAGCTCCTTGGCTTTCATGTAGTCCTGTAGATGGCAGCCGAACAGATCGAGGACCCTCTGGGTCAGTTCCTGCAGAATTCACACATTTACACGACCCATTAGAGAAATTCTGATTCTCTCCATTTTAATTTAGTTTCTTTACAAGCAACGAAATCTCGTAATAATTCCTGTGAATGTTGCCGTTAACGGTCAAATATACAGTAACATACACTAATAATGGTGTGACCCTTTGTGCAGCAAATGCTACTGATCATCTTGTACGATGGCACAAGTAAATAGTCTGTTCTGTTTTATGCTGGACGTAGGAAAAATGACTAAAGTGACACCGACAAAGGTCGAATAGGCAGAAGGGGTTAGAGCATCTCTGTGGTGAATACCATAGACCGGTGCTGAGCTGTTAGTGGGTGTGCTGAAATACTTCATATGACGATTTGAACTACTTGAAGTCTAAATCGCAACTCACAGGACCTGCTGTCACCTACCACACAGTGCTTCTTATAGAGCTCATGGTTCTCAGAGTCTGAGCTGGTACATAAAGGGAACTACTGTGGTTTCTCTTATTTCCTGTCATATACAGAGGATATTCATTTAATATGTTGATAGAACAGTAGCAGGATGACATCCTCGTAAGTGGATATCAGGCCCATGTAGAGCAAAATTGAGTATTTTAGTCTAAATAACCCAAAATGTGATGTCCACGTATGTGGACGCAGGTCCTAGGATGTTAAAGAACTCAACAGTCACATGACCTGTGGTAATGGGTCACACCTTTCCTAATATTTACCCAGCTACAGTCCAGAATGACTTGTTTACTAACACGTATCAACCCTGTATACATTATTTTAATAGATGGTTTTAACCATCCCAGACTTTTGGAAATCTCTTTACAGATTTTAATGCAGATTTACAAGTTCTCCTCATCCATAGCAACAACAACTGTAGGCAGGTTAACACAAACACTTGTTCTTCAAGTACTTGTAGCGTGCCTGGCCTTCACATTAACTACAGAAAATTCTTGCAAGCACATTGTTAGACCTTGTGAAAGCTCCCTGCTCCTTTAAAGCTCAGTACCTTCCTGTCAGCTGTTCTTGCTCGCAGTTTCAGCCCCATGGCCATGGAGATCATGGCTTCTTCAATCTCTGTTTCAAAAGCACTCTCAGAGGACACAGTGGAGTACCAGGAGGTGACAAAGTCTCTGATGATTTTCTTCACTGTGTTGTGGATCTCCTGGTCCAGATCATTTTCATCCTTCTCAGACTTTGGAATCTGAAAATTAGTAATTAGGAGTCTAAGGTTAACTTAGCCCAAACCGTTTATAATCACATCCATATATTGTAAAACATCAAGCTGTAAACCATCATTAATTATAGACCTACTTGCTCCCAGGTGATAAACCTCTCCAGGTGAATCACACTGTTGGACTCAAGAACAGTCTGCGAGCCGAGCCAGCCCCAGAGCACCAAGAGCAGGCTGGTGAAGACACACAGCAGCCAGATGTTGACCAGCAGGTGGAACAGCACCAGCCAGGCCAACACCACACCGACGCCCAGCAAGCTCCTCTGTCCCCACACCTCAGCCATGATGCTGCAGGGTTTGCTTTCTCACTGGCCTCAACTGGAGAAGTGAAGATCAGGCGTGCCGGGTACCATCACTCCTTAAAGAACCAAAACGATAACACCTGAGTGGCACATCGGAAACAGGACGGGAAGCTGAGTGCAAGCAGAGTGGGGTAAGTTGAAGTAAAGGGGATGAATGTGTAACACAAACATATCATCCACGCTGCTTATCACGTACTGACAGCAAACAGAAGAAGTGTTGTAAAATGCTTCACTGACCTCAGGGACGATGTGTCTCGTATCTGCTGAGCCAGCGCGTGTACGCTACAAGCTAACGCTGGTTGTGCCGTGCTTCATGCTTCACTAGCTAACCCGGTGTAGCTATGCTGCGGTGGTACTAGCGTTAGCCCAAAGGCATTAACTGTCGTGCGGAGACCGAACTCCGCTCAGATGTTTCATGACGGTGTACGTCCGACAGGCTGAGACAGCAGCTAAGCAAGATGTCAAGATTAATGTCTGCCCTTTAGCTGCTTCCTACGCCAGTAACAGCAGCAGAGAGGTAGCTGGAAACATGAGCGGCATCGCTGCTTCTTTGTAAAGATGCTGAAATGAAGAGAAGCGCTGTATTTGTCAGAGCTGCAGCACGCACATACCAACCTTACAGTGCTGAACCAAAGACACGTCACTCCAGGAGCGCGCGACGCCTGCTCATAAACGCATACAACAAGCTACAGCGCGAGCTCAGACAGACATGCACCCTGCACGAGCCGTCCAGCACTCAACGAGAGGTCTCGTGAGCTTCTCGGCGTCAACTCCTCGGTCTGGTTTGTTTACTTCCTGTATTGCGAGCTATGACGTATCGATTGGGGCAGGCTCTAAGGCTTCGGAGGCAACCGACTTCCGGTATTTGCCAAAAAGTGATTTCCCGTATTCAAACTGCTGTAAATGGCTTGTTGGCCTATAATATGTGAAATGTATTTCAAATGTATCCCTCACGAATGATATCAAGTCATCGTGAGACACAGACAGCATTCCTGTCGCAACGCAATCAGTTTATGGCAAAGCGACTTTTATATATCTTTGATTTATCCAGTTAAAAATCCCTCTTTGTAAGTCCTGTTCACTAAAGTCTATTCACCAATATAAGTAAAGACATTACACATAAAAAAAACACATGGAGACATTGGAAATCAGTCTGTAATTTGCATTTTTACAAATTAAATATTAGTTTGCTATTTTGTGTACACACTTTACACTCATTCACTCATCAACTTGCATAATGGATTTATCATCAGGTCACAATATAATCTGAAGTCTCCATCTTTCTAACTCTGTGCGATGCTGTCAGTCTGTCAGCCAGTTTGCTTGCACTGAAAACGTTTACTTTACGTGACGGGGCGTGGTCTGCGGTGCACTGCAGGGATGCCGGACGCACAATCGTGCCCCGTCGACTTAAAATCTGTACTGGGTCCTATCATGTTGTTGTTGTTGTTGTTGTTGTTGTTGCGTGTGCGTGTTTCTGAACAGCAACCGTGAATAAAATATTATGGAAGCACTAACCCGTGGATATATTACAACTATTTTTTTTTTTTAAATATCTGTACTCTGTAAAGTTTCTGATATTCAGTCATTTATTTATTCACTCATTCACTGTGGTCGGTCACATTGACTGGAGGGCTGTCACAGTTGAATCTTGAAGCTGATGTGAATATCTGAGTCAGGATGAGGCTGAAAGGACTCGAAAACTGAGTTAAATCCATGTTAAAGTGAGCCTGCAAACAGTCTGTGGTCTGAACATTACATGTTGAAATCTGTTCACAGATTCAGTCATTAAATTTGATAGATACAGTCTACTGAAAAATCACCAAAGGAGTCTCAGTGGATCCACGACGGATGTCTAATGTCTCGGTATAGCCTACTGTGTCCTGGTCACAGTCCAGATAAGAATCGTGGATTCAGATTTCATCAAGCTCAGATCCAGTTTGGCTCCAGTCGTTTCCCAGTTCATCCCATTCAGATCTCTTCACGATGGTTTAACTTTTCCCGACACGATGTGTGTTCTTTATTCAAACTGGTTCATCCTCCCAAAACTATACTGAGATTTTTTTTTTAAACGACTTACTCTCAGTCTTTAAAATACACTGCCGGGACCACAGAATCCAAACACAGGAAGTTAATTCGTGAGCAGAAGAAGTGCTGATGAATACCTCACCACTCACGATTAAAATGTTCTTTTCTTCACATGACTTGGAAACAATCTCAAAATGTTAAAAAGAAAGAGAGCAGGTTCATCTGAAGTATTTCTTTAAATCAACAGCAGCTGAATTTTAGTTCAGTTCAAAGGAGCATGAAAAGAACGAACTCTCTGAGCTTGTGTGGTACTTTCCCCCCAAACATATTGAGTAGATTTATTGAGCTGAGCTTCTCCTCAGGGTGCAGGCTGAGCTGTACCTTTCACATCATACATGAACATGGCTGACTTAACTCCCAAAGCCTCATTAGTTCATCAGCCTTGGAGTTTTTCCATACACTGACCCATGACTTAGAACAATGCTGTGCTCAGCTATACATCAATGTAGATACTGTTAAATTCACAACCCGTGAGTGTGAGCTGAGCTATAAAAATCAGTGTTTACTGATTTTCTTGCTGTAAAATCCAGCTTTTACGCTGGATACAGACATTTTTCTTTAAATACCACAGGTAATTAAATACTTCCTCGGTTATTTCCTTTGTTTATAAAATTATCTGGGGAGTGTCAGATTCCCTTCTTTCATTTCAGAAATGAAAACGTTTTTTCAGTGCACTCTCTGAACACTTAGATGGCACACTTGTTCTTGGAGGCGACCTCAACCTTGGACTAAATGAAGACATGGATAGGCTCAATACAGCGGGAACTCAGCGTAATTGGCAGTCCACAAATATAATCAAACAGTATATGAGCGACTTTGGTCTTTGCGATGCATGGCGCTCCCTTCACCCCACCAGTAAGGAATATACTTTTTTCTCACATGTCCATCACTCCTACTCTCGTCTGGATTATTTTTTGGTCAGCAGCTCACTGCTGAACGACATTTCAGACACTGAGATTCACCCTATAGCTGTCAGCGATCATGCTCCTGTATCTTTAACACTAATGCACAAGAATAATACTACGCCAAGTAAAAACTGGAGATTTAATATATCACTACTTAAAGATGAAGACTTTATTAAATATTTTAAAAAAGAGTGGACTTCATATTTGGACTATAATGACACTCCCGAAACATCAGCTTCTGTTCTATGGGAAGCAGGGAAAGCTGTGATGAGAGGTAAAATAATTTCTTTCTCATCACATAAAAAGAAAAAAGAAAACAAAAATATAGAAATGAAAACTGAGGACATGAAAGTCGGAAAATGAAACTTAACACTTGCCACTTTGGTTTCAGTTTCCACATCATATAACTGCCTTCCATGTGCTATTATGTCCCGGACACAGAAGGAGCTGAGAGGTGAGTGTTTGCACATCCTGTGGTCTTTACTGTATAGACAGTTATAGTAAATTTAATAAAAGTACATATGTTGTTATGAGTGCAATGTCTGTGAAGGTTCTCAGTCATCCAGGTCATCGTAGTCTTCACTTTTGCTTTTCAAGCAACTTAAAGAAGTCCAGACGCCTTTCTTTCCAAGCTCCTTAGATTATGAATGTAATGTAATGCAGCTTTAGGTCTGACTGGGGCATTTTTTTGGCCACCACTAAATGAGCCTTTTCAGGTCAGATATGAAAACGAGTGAAGACGGAGTAAAACGAGGTATGCTGATGACTAGTATAACCTCACTAATCTGATTTGTTCAGTGTGGTTGACTCTGGAGCCAGTGTGGGAAAATATTTCTGAAAGACCGGAGGGAGCCACACAGTCGCTCATTAAAATGACCTTGTGTGCAATTTCACACATGCCATGCGTCCGGGTTTTTCAGAAAGCCTTATTTCATACGGTGAGTCACAGGGTTGATAGGTTAGCTCTGTGAGGGTCTGTGGGTCATTCCTCCTCAGCCATGAACAGGATCATGACAACTTACGAGACACTACCTTTGACAGAGGTGAGTGAAACACGGCCTGCACTGCTTTCACTCTGGATTTATTAACTGAAATCACTACTGGTGCTTTTGGGAGATTTAATGTGTTGTATATTGTTTCCAGCATATTTTAAAAAAGACAATTTTAGGCTTTTCTTTGTTCGTAACTGTTCTGCCTGAGCCTCGCCAACTTAATTTAGAGCTTGTGTCCGTTAGGTTTCCATTTCCTCTCACGGTGTGAAAAAAAAGCCCAGACTGTGGAGTTCCATCGTCGAGATGACGTCTCACATGGCACTGTGCAAACTCTGTGAGTACAAAACAAGCTGCTGCAAAGTCACTCTCATAAAAAACACTAACTGGGAAAATCCGGTATCTTCTCGTCATTTCTCCTCTATTTATAAAGTTAGCAGTAAAGGAAGGAAACTGGGACTTTGTGGTTACTTGGCAACCCCTTGGGGGATTTTTTTATGAGCCACAGTTTGACTTCATCGGCTGAGTTAACATCTTTTCTGTCACCATCAGTTCCTCTGGTTCTGGTGGCGGCTGTGGTGCTCACTGTGAATGGGATAATAGGAGATCCCCTGTTTGAATGCCTCCAAGACACAGACTACAGCGAGCTTCTTGACATCGTGAAGAAAGGTCTTCCTGCTACAAAGACGCCTCGACACGTAGCAATCGTCGGCGGGGGCATCGCTGGACTGACGGCTGCCAAGTTTCTAGAAGATGCTGGACATAAGGTAATTTACAGTCAGGGAAAAAATATTTAAACTACACTCTCTCTGGGAGTAATTTTCTGAGTCATTACTGTTGGTGCTAAAAGTGCATATGCTTTTCAAACTGAGTGTCATGGCTGTGTGTCCCCTTGGACATCAAAGGTGACCATAATCGAGGCCAGTAATCGTATCGGAGGACGTGTGGAGACCTTCAGGAACAGAAGAGAGGGCTGGTATGCAGAACTGGGGGCCATGAGGATCCCAAGCTTTCATAAGTGAGTAAAGAGACGCACATGGCAAATAGACACCCCCTCATTTAATCAAGGAAAATATCCTGTTGGAAGTAAGAACTGAATGATGCCAGAAGAAATGTACTAGCCTGTAGAGTTTTCAGTACTTGTAAGATTTGAGCCTCTAAGTAACTAGGAAGAGTCTAACAAAACACTAAAGATCTTCTAGCTAAATGGTTAAAATACCGTATATATTCACACAGGATAACTAATGTGCTTATGTCACAGGATTTTGCTTTCTTTTGCGTCCAAATTACAAATACCTATGAACCGCTTCATCCAAGATGACATCAACACCTACTACTTGGTAAATGGAGAGCTACATAAAACCTATACAGTTGAAAACAACCCCAGCGTGCTCAACTACAGCTTGTCTGACAGGGAGAGGGGGAAAACGGCCGCTCAGCTCTTCAGCCAGGCGCTGTGGAAGGTTTGTTCATGTGCTGCTTTGTTGCACATGTCAGTGTGAATCTTGTCTTGTAAATATTGTGATTTTCACACAGGTGAGAGATGATGTGAAGGCAATCGGCTGTAGTGCCACATTGGATAAATATGACTCCTACACAGTGAAGGTAAAGGTTTAATTACCTTGACACTCGATGTCATACCGATCACAGCTGTAATCTGTTGGGGGGAAATGTCCTCACAGGAGTATCTGGTGAAGGAGGGCAATCTGAGCCGTGGAGCCCTGAGGATGATTGGGGACATCCTGAATGAAAACAGCCTCTTCTACACATCACTGATCGAGATGATGTACATGCAGACAGACATCAGTGACAACGTTGAGTAAGAAATATTCATATGTCACAGTGGGATGTTAAGAAGCCAGGGAAGAGGAACAGCAGCTAAGATATGCTTCTGATTCTGAGTGGTTGGTCTTCCATACCTTCTAGTGCCACCATTGTTAGACTGTACTCCAAAAGGGCAAAATAGTTGATTTAAACACTTTGTAGAGCTGAGGGAACAGATTCATGTGGCACTTCTCCTTTGTTTCGTCATTACTGTATATGTTATATGGGGCGATCGTGGCTCAAGAGTTGGGAGTTCGCCTTGTAATCGGAAGGTTGCCGGTTCGAGCCCCGGCTTGGACAGTCTCGCTCGTTGTGTCCTTGGGCAAGACACTTCACCCGTTGCCTACTGGTGGTGGTCAGAGGGCCCGGTGGCGCCAGTGTCCGGCAGCCTCGCCTCTGTCAGTGCGCCCCAGGGTGGCTGTGGCTACAACGTAGCTGCCATCACCAGTGTGTGGATGACTGGTTGTGTAAAACGCTTTGGGGTCCTTAGGGACTAGGAAAGCGCTATATAAATACAGGTGATTATATGTGTAATTTTTCTTATTACTTATAACACTGTGACCACTGACAGGTGAAGTGAAGAACACTGATTCTCTCCTCATCATGGCACCTATTAGTTGGTGAGATAAATTAAGGAGCAAGTAAACATTTTGTCCTCAAAGTTGACGTTAGAAGCAGGAAAACCTAACGATAAAACAGCTGGGTCAGAGCATCTCCAAGCAACAGTAACCAGCGACAGGGCCGTGGACAGTCAAGACTCACTGATGCATGTGGGCAATAAAGACTGGCCCATGTGGTCCGATCCAACAGACGAAGAGCAAACAGCTGAAAGAGGTTCAAGCTGAGTGCGATAGAAAAGTGTCAGAATTGACAGAGTTTGGTTGCTGTGTAGCTGCAGACCAGTCAGGGTGCCCGAGCTGACCACTGCCCACCACCAAAACCACCAATGATCAGCATCAGAACTGGACCACGGAGCAATGGAAGAAGGGGGCCTCGTCTGGTGAGTCACGTTTTACATCAGGTGTGCATGTGTCGCTTACCCAGGCAACACCTGGCACCAGGATGCATTGTGGGTAGAAGGTGAGGCGGCAGAGGCAGTGTGATGCTTTGGGCGATGTTCTGCTGGGAAACCCTGGGTCCTACCATCCATGTGGATGATACTTTGACACGTAGCACCTACCTGAGCATCGTTGCAGACCATGGACACTATTATACACTCCACGGAGGCCACACCTCGCCACTTACAGGATCAAATGATCTGTCGCTAACTTGGTGCCAGATGCCACAGCACACCTTAGGGGTCTGGGGGAGTCCAGGCCTCGATGGGTCAGAGCTTCCGTGGCAGTGAAAGGGGCACATAATGGTCACAATGTTATGGCTGATTGGCATAATTCAAATTTATAGAAAATAAATGATTAGTTCAGCTTTAGCGGAGTATTGTGTATTAAGGGATGTTTTCTTGAATTTCTTTCAGGTACTTTGAGGTGACTGATGGCTTTGAACACCTGCCCAGAGCTTTCTATCAGGTCTTAAATGCCACCATCCTCCTCAACTCCAAGGTCAAGCTCATAAACCAGACAGGTGGTAGAAATGTGACCATCACCTATCAGGACCAGCACAACTCCCTGACTAACCTAACGGTGGACTACACCCTGGTCACTGCCACAGCCAAGGCCACCCTGTTCATTGACTTTCAGCCCCCTCTCTCTGGGGACAAGATGGAGGCCCTGCGCTCAGTTCACTACACCAGCTCCACAAAGGTGGTGCTTAGTTTCAAGGAGCGCTTCTGGGATAAAGAGGGCATCAGAGGAGGGAAGAGCATCACAGACCGTCCCGCTCGCTTCATCTACTACCCCAGCCACAGCTTCCCCGGGACATCCGCAGGTGCACTGCTGGCATCCTACACCTGCTCTGACGACTCCGCCCTCTTCCAGGGCATGAATGATGGGGAGCTGATGGCTGTGGTCCTGGAGGACTTGGTGAAGATCCATGGAGAGTACATCAGGCCTTTGTGGACAGGGGGGCTGGTGAAGAAGTGGGGCTTGGATCCTTACAGTCTGGGAGCCTTTGTCCTGTTCACACCTTACCAGCAGGGGCACTATGCCAGAGAACTGTTCCAGAGTGAGGGACGGGTACACTTTGCAGGGGAGCACACAGCCACACCTCACGGATGGATCGAAACGTCCATCAAGTCTGCACTCAGGGCAGCTAAAAATGTTAACAGTCTTACACTGTAGTGTTTCATGCAGCAAACATTTATTCCATGTTCACTCCTTTATCGTCTGATTTCATGAACACTGTTCCAGCTCAGTGCTGTGTGCTCCTGGAACCCCCAAGCCTCTGGAGAGCTAACTTTGGTGGCCGTACCCTGAGACGGATAACAGGCAGTAGTAGTAGTAGTCACTCCAGTGTGATGTTTATTTTCTGTTACGAATGTACTGTTGATGTGCATCTATTAATTGATAGACAAAAGGTTTGTCTGTTACAGGCACTTTGATCAGATTTGCAGCGCTTCGCTCTTAAAGTTCCTCCTGTGTCTAAATACCAAGTTTCAGTCGGATTAAGTGCAGAAATCTTTCTATGTTACATTACGTTGAAACTTGTTTGCAGAAAAAGTGGATGAACAATGGACAGAGCCCTGTGATTCATTCATTTATGTTTTATTTAATTTTATCTACACGGTACTTCATTTTGCACGTATGTTGAACCACAAAGTAAATCTCTGGATTTTCCCTGTCAGCGTATGACTCGAAGTAAAAAGATGTAAGCATGAAAAACGGCTGGTTCATATTTAATGTGGTGGAACACTAACAGACTAGCTCCTGGCAGCGGCACAGTTTGCCTGTTTGCTGTGATGAGCTCTTTGCAGTTACTTTTTAACATGTGCATGGAGCTGCAGGTCACTCAACATATAATTAATGCAAACACTGAATTTTTGGTGCTAGATTCTAAGTGAACAACTCCATTACATTTATGCAGCTGTTTGGATAAAAAAAAGACAGTGTTTGAATTCTTCCTAACTCCAGACTGCTCCTCTAAGCCCACCTCCCTTCTAATGGCATTAGATTTTCACCTGAGTGGAGCTTTTCGAGTGCTGAAATGATTATTGATAGCCTCTCTTTTTGACATAAAACTCTAGGAGTAGAGAAATGTCCTGAAATCAAGTATTTAAAGCAGACTGAGTGGACTCAGACTCCTCTGCGATATGCACTGACAGAATAACAATTATAATTCTCTATCATTTTCCTCGTCTACTATTGATCAGAACATAACGCAGAAGCACCTTCTGCTTTCAAGAGAAAGCAGAAGGTGCCAAGCGAGGAGCTGCCCAGCCTTTGCTTTCAGCTCTATAGATGTCGTTTAGGAAAGTAAATAATAATCTTGAAGTTTCAGATGGATGAAAGGGAAAAAACATCAGGCAACATTGTTTCTTCAGGTGAAACATTTAAGATTTATTATTACCAGACTTCTCCAGGCTTGCAGATTTCCTCTCCCTTCCTTCCTCCAGTTTGATCATATGACTGCACCCCTCCCCCCATAAGAGTTCCTCATCATCTCTCAAACGCCAGCTGTTATACCCACGTACACAAAGTCTTCTTCGTGTCATCTCCCATCAAGTTAGGAATAAAAAAAACATAATACAGTCTGACTGCGGTGCGTTATCACTGAGTGCCTTTCTGCACCATCTGTGTGAAGCGGTTGGTGATGCTGAGGGTGGTGTCAATGAATCGCTCCACGCAGCTCACCAGGCACGTCTCTGTCCTGTAGTCCAGCTTTGAGCCCGGAGTGTCCACACATTTATCCCAGCAGACGTCGGTGAAACTGTGCACCTGCAAACCACAGGACACAGACGGGAACTGATTCAGCTCAGTGTTATTTATAGAATGTCGAAGCATCGCGGCTGATGCCAGTTAATGTTTATTAAAAAAGAAAAGGCTGAAATCTGATTACTGAACACATGTAACCAAGATTCATGCCGGACTCTAGAAGACAGCATGTTTCTGTGTGTACAGGAAACTATTTAAATCAATCACAGAACTGATGTGCATGGAGTTAAAAACACACGTCTTCTGCCTGTTATGGTTGTGAGAGCTGCTTCTATGAATGTTTATTTAGAATGAGAGGGGGAAAGGTTACCAGCTGCCACACTGGATGCTTGTCTACGGAGCAACTAACGTGCACTGCTCTCCACACAACGATGGTTACCAATTCCTTCACTGACTCGGTCTGTCTATCACTTATAGAGCACGGCTCGCTGTGAAGCGCCCCTTAATAAATTTGTCCACAGCCACATCCATCATATTTTCTTATACATCTGCTGTTTAGTGATTCAGCTAACCTGCTCCATATTTCGGACATCCACCAATTATCCCAGCGATACCAAAGGTCAAATAAACGATTAATGATCATCTTTAAAGCTGCAATGTAACCACACACAGTACTGACTGGATTACGCCGAGCTTTGAATCCACGGTTAACAAAGCTCAGCATGCGGATCTAGAGGATATATTAACTCTATGTTCTTCAACGCGGAAACACCTGGACAAGAAGCAGATGTTCTTCCAGCTGTGTGATGTCCAGTTCTAATACAAACTGGTCTCTTGTACAGAGACATTAACGGTCAACTAAGCACGTGTAAGACGTCAGATCACGTCGTGCAATGAACTACATCTGTCGGAGGACAGTCAGCCCCCGTCCTCTTACAGACCTGAGCCTGGAACTGCGCTTTCTGCTGCTCGACAGCGATCATGCGCTGCAGCTGCGTCGCCTCTGCCTTCTCCGACGCGCTCAAGTTATCAAAGCCGTCCATGTCTTCTGCCCGTCGGCTGCACAGGAGCTCCGAGCACTGCTCAAGCACAGAGGTGACCTTCTCTTCCACCGGCGCGGTTTGGGAAACAGCGCTAATCACACGGTGCCCTGCAGACGGCGGCGCTTTCTGTTTGCGTTGTTTGACGCGCTAAATGCGACGCAACAAAGGACGCGTGCAAAGATGTTTCATGTTGAGCAGCAACCCCCCAAACACCGACCGGTACGGTTATTAGCGTACAGACGCATGTTTCACATCCAGCTGTAGAGACGTGTTTTATAGAAGGAATGAGGATTACAGAGAACTCACAGTTTATTTTCACATAAAGAAGTCAGAAAATAAAATAACAACAAACAAAACACTGGTGCTGTTAATTTACCTCTTAATTATGAAAGTGTGTATGAATGAATTGTAGTGGTGGAGTCAGCGCAGTAAAAACACATTTATGTCTTCTTTACCTGATCACAAACATGCCTGTGTCTCTGCAGACATTTCTCAGAGGACTCTGGTGGCATTTAGTTTTCTAATTGTATGATGTTCCACGAGTATGGAAGACTAAAACAGTCAGTCAGCAATCATTGTTTTAACAAAATAAAAGGTTGACATTGAAGAGGTACTGCAGATGGTTCTACAATAATTAAGAAATTAATTAAGAAAAACAATTAGTGATTTATTGCTTCCCATACATTTTTATATCATTTGCTGCAATTCGATCAGTCGATATTTATTGTCAAACTTTATGTCCATAGTTTAAAAACCAAAAACACAAAATATAAAGCTTAATAAAAAAAGAAAATATCTGTAAACATATAAAACCATAATATAAATAAAACGTATTAATTATTTTAGATTCATTTATTTCTTGTGTTGTTTTGTACAGCCACAGTTGACCACCTTCTAAAAACAGACACTTAATAGGAATGAAACAAATGTTGTAGTCCACATAGCACACCATATAATACTATTATTAGTTATTGGTATTTATTTAAAATACATAATAATTAGGTGATCATCTCGAACACCCACAATCTTTGTGACGCCACGTCGACAGGATTACATCCGGGTTACTGCCGTGACCTTGGTTGGTTGTTCATCATGGCGGCCATCGTCAGGTTGAGTTCTGTGTGCCGCAGAGGAATTAAACGTGAGTAGCGCTGCTTCTCTCCGGGGTTTATGACTGTTCTAAGCATGTGTGCTTACTTTAGGGCCGCAGTTCGACAGCAGGCCGATTTGACGGAAGTGAAGTCGAGTGTTGGCCGTAGACGAACAAATGGCGCCAGCTGCAGACTTTTCAAGATCACGGTTTCACTGAAGCATCCTGCTGTCAGTATTAGCCGCTTTATTGCTACCTGTCAGTGGCCAGCGCCAGCTAGGTATGAGTAGTGCCAAAGGCCGCTTTGCTAGCGTTATCGCTCAGCACTGTCCACCAAAGATTATTCAGAAGTTGGAGAATTATTACTTCGAAGGAAAAAGGAGGCAAAAGACCTGAATTGCAAGATTTGTAGTCAATGACAGGCCTCTTAAAAAAGTAAAATAGAAATCGGCTCCCTTCCTTTGACGTTTTAAAGAGCACAGTAAAGTTTGCGTTAGGGTAAGGCTGCTCTCGTTTGGCTGTTTGTGTGGATGATTTCCAGCTGTAATCGCACTATTACATAGCCTTCATGTGTTCATAACAAACACAAGAAAATATAAACGTTTTAAAGAATTATATACAGTGTGTGATAGTTATAATTACGCTCATTCTATCTGATTAAATTCCGCTAGTGTTCGTTGTGAAGCAGATCTTAAAATGCTTGATCTTGACTGTGAGCTAATACAGAAGCACCAGTGAACTTCCAGACCGACGCCAATATTTTCTTCCGTCTGTTCGTGCTGTTGTTGTCATCCCCCTTTGTGCCAGGAAAAAAGCATTTATTATTTAATTAAATTAAAAACACAACGCTTTCTTTCAGTTCCTCATTTATTCATTTATATTTTTCAGTTCAGATCTACGTGACATAGCAGATCATTAACACAGTGCTGCTGTGCACAAAGGGAAATTCTCCAATGCTCCATGGAGCTTGAAGGGGACAGTCTCTTAGAGTAAAGACACCACTAATTATTTTACCTTAACTGTGTGTGATGTGTCGCAGTTTAAAACTCGTGGTGTTCTGGGAGAATGTACAGTATTGAAATGGAGGACATGTAGGAAGCACTGCACTGGAGCCTATCCCAGCTGTCATAGCTGTTTTTTATTTATGAGAAAAATGAGATCCACATATGAGGACATTTGTTTTAAATTTTAATAGAAGAGTGGCAGTATAATGTCCTCGTAAGTGGATATCAGGCCCATGTAGAGCAGAATTTAGTATTTTGGTCTAGACAAGAGAACATGTGATGTCCACGTGTGGACACCAGGTCCTCGGAGGTTAAAAAATACATTTGGCATCAAAAGTAAGGAAATTTGGTTTGGGTCATTATTTCTTTGTAACAGTGCTTCTTGGCATTGAAGATGTTGGAAGACCAGTTATTTCACCTTTAATAGTACCATATTTGTAAGGAAAATACATTTTTTTTGTTGAGCAAGGAACCCATGCAATGACAATCAGATGCC